AGTGCGTGCTGAGCCACCTGTCTGTGCGTTCGCATGGCAGGCATTGGCGGAGCACTTTGCCGCCCTCGAGGCACGAGGCCTCACGCACCCGCCCTTCGTCCACCACCAGGGGCTCCTGGCTTTCGATCGGCAGCAGGGCTGCCGGCGGCTGGCACAGCGCCCGCGCGTCGGAGCAGACGCTGCGCTGCCCCCTTTTTAGGCTGCGCATGGAGTCGCGGCCAGTGGTGGCTAGACGCCACGTCGCGACTCAGAACTCATGACGCGCTCCAGGGCCCCGCAAGGCGCGAGCCGAGCTTCCCGCCACCCATCCAGCCATGCTCCTGAATCGAGCAGTCGACGACGCCCTCGATCGCTGGCTTGGTCCTTGGCGACGCGCAGCTCCCGCCAGGTCCGAAGTTGCGATCGCGCGGCTCCATGCGCATGGACGCTGAGGAGGCAGTCCGACTTGACCCAAGGGCGTGCAACGATGATCAGACCACCGAGCACCTGGTGAGCAGTTGTTGTCGACACATTGTGCCGGATGTAGCCCGCACCTGGTTCGACTGGGCGCCCTCCCCGCCTGATCCCGAGCGCTCCCGGCGCAAAGCTGTCCTGGGCCCATCGGGGGACAGCGGGCCAGCTTTCTGGCCGTGGTTTGCGGGCCCTCCGTCCCAGAAGGCTTCCTCCCCGACGGCGTGGCCTGGGGCGGCTGCCGTGGCGCCCTCGTCGGCGCTGTGCGCGACGCCTGGCCCACGCGCAAGGGTTGGCCACCCACTGGGGCGCCCGAGTCGCCAGTTGCACGCTGCTGCGGCAGGCGCGCAACTGGAGGTCCTTCTCTTTCGCGCCGGCGCCGCCAGCCTCGCAGACGGCCCTGCGCGGCGCGCGCCGACCGCGGCCTGGGGCGGGCCTCGCCGCCGTGCCGCAAGCCCCCGCAGCCTCGTAGCTGGCGCCCCCCTCCCGGCCCCGCGCAGACCAGCCGCGCAGGGCCCCGACGCCCTCGCCCAGGCGGGGGCGGCCGCGCCGACGGCTGCCTCTGCGTGCGCCCAGACCGCCCGCCACTGGGGCGACGTGCGGCCCCGAGCCACAGCGCAGCCCCAGCCGCGCGGAGGGCGCGGGAGGAAGCCGCCGACTTGGGCCGCAATGGTGCAGGGCAAGGAGTTGCGCGAGGCCCTCGGGATCGCAGGCGCGCGTGCGCGTCGTCGAGGTCTGTGAAGGCAAGGCCTCCGTCGGCTCTGCGCCGGCAGCTGGCCCGCCGGCAAGCCCCGCCCTGGCCGATGCCAGGGCGCAAGTGCCTCCCGAGCCCGGGCCCCGCTCCGGCAAGGCGCAGAGCACTTCCGCGGCCCCCGCCCGCAGCCGCAGTCCCTGCCCGGCCCCGCTCCGGCGACTGGCTCCAAGGGCGCCTGCCATGGCTGGAGGGAGTGGCAGGGGTGAGGCGGATACGGCGACTGGCGGCATGAATAGTGGAACAAACAATGACATAAACATAAAACTCGGAGGTCCGCGCGCGGATTCCTCGGATCGGCGCTGGGACCGCTTGGCGGCGCCTCCGGCGCCGCCCCTGGCGCGCTCCGCGCGCCATGGAGGGGGTCCAGCGCCGATCCGAGAAATCCGCGCGGACCTCCGAGTCTTTCTGTTTATGTCATTGTTTGTTCCGCTGATGAAGGCCAATGGGTTCAGGGCGGGGGTTCTGTCGACGCCTGCTGCGACGGCCCCGCCGGGTCAGCTGGCCCCCCCGCGAGGATGTGCCGCGCCAGCCCCAGCATGATCAAATGGGCCCGCCGCCCTGGTGAGACCCCTGACGCGCGGGTCAAGCGTCTCCAGGGATCGACAGGCTACGTGCTCGCTGGAGCCTGGCACGGCGCCAGTTCCCTCGGTGCAAATCCGCCGTTGACCCCGAGAAGCGGTGAACTCGCAAGGCCGAGCAGTGGCTCGAAGACCGGGGGCGCGCGCGCTACGACGTCGCGGCGTGGGCTGGGCAGCAAGAAGCCTGGGTGGACTGGCCGGGCGCGGCTAGCGGCAGACTGGCAGAACAGGCAGTGGGACCTGGCCAAGGGCAAAGGAGGCGCCGGCAGCCGATGCCAGCGAGGGTGGGGCCGCGCGCCGGACTGGGGCCGCCGCGCCCGTGGCAGATGCGAGGGCGGGCGATGGGCCGCCCACTCCCGACGCGCACCTGCTTCGCCCTGCCACCTGCTTCCCCGCGGAGCGACTGCGCGGAGCGGCGGCCCGGGAATGTCTCAGGTGCGCCCCTGGCCCTGCTCGCGGAACCTGCCTCCCCTGCGCGCCCTGGCTGGGCCCTCGGCTGACGGCCTCCTCCGGCCCAGCCAGGTTGCCGCCCAGGGTCAGAGGGCCCGCGCCCTGGCTTCCCCGAGGCACTCGGCAGGCTCGCCGCTCGCGTGGCTCTCCAGCGCGCGGGCGCGCCCCGGGCCGCGGACGGACGCCTGGCGGCCACAGCTCGGCGCGCCCGCTCTCCCGCGCCAGCCTGGCACTTTCGTGTCTCGTGGTGGGTCCCCGGGGTTGAGCGGCATGTTTCGGCGGCGAGCGAGGGGAGGAAGTGAGCAGGAGAAGGCCCTCTCAGAAGGCGGCGTGGTTTCTCAGAAGCCCCTGCGTCTTCTGATAGGTCTTCTGTGCCTTCTGAGAAGGCCCGCTCCTTCTCACTTCCCCCCCGGGCGCGCCGCCCAAAGTTTGTTCATCCCCGCCGTGCGCTGAGGCTTCTCGCCTGGTCCTGGACCGCGCGCCGTCTTTTTTGCACGCTCCTGCCCCCCGGCGCTTCGCTCCACCCCTCTCTCGGGGCCTGCTCTGCCACCCCCGGGTCAGACCTCGGGCGTCGGGCTCTGCTCGCCGCCTCGTGGCTGCGGCGCGCCGCAGACCTCGGGCGTCGGGCTGCTCGCCGCCCTGTGGTTTCGACGCACAAGTTTTTTGTATAGCTATTATTAGCAAAAAATTAAGTATTCAATGATGATGATGATGATGCTGATGATGATGATGACGATGATGATGATGATGACGATGATGATGAGGAGGAGGAGAAGGAGAAGGAGGAGAGGAGGAGAAGGAGAAGGATAAGGAGGAGGAGGATGATGATGATGATTATGATGATGATGATGATGATGATGATGATGATGAGGATGAGGATGATGAGGATGAGGATGATGATGATGAGGATGAGGATGAGGATGAGGATGAGGACGAGGATGATGATGATGAGGAGGACGATGATGATGATGATGATGATGATGATGATGATGATGGTGAGGAGGAGGAGGAGGAGAAGGAGGAGGAGGAGGAGAGGAGGAGAAGGAGAAGGAGGATGATGATGATGATCCTGATGATGGTGATGATGATGCTGATGATGATGATGATGATGATGATGAGGATGAGGATGAGGATGAGGATGAGGATGAGGATGATGATGATGATGATGATGATGATGAGGAGGATGATGAGGATGATGAGGATGATGATGATGATTCTGACGATGATGATGATGAGGAGGAGGAGGAGGATGAGGAGAAGGAGGATGAGGATAGGAGGAGAAGGAGAAGGAGGAGGATGATCATGATGATGATGATGATGATGATGATGATGATGAGGAGGAGGAGGAGGAGGAGGAGGAGGAGGATGGTGATGAGGATGAGGATGAGGATGAGGATGAGGATGAGGATGATGCTGATGATGATGATGATGCTGATGATGATGAGGATGATGATGATGATGATGATTATTCTTCTTCTTCTTTTTATTATTGCTATTACTGTTTTTGTTACTCTTACTATTCCCATTATATATTAGTGTTATTAGTTTTTATTATCATTAGGACTATGACTATGACTATGACTATGACTATGACTATGACTATGACTATTATTATTATTATTATATCTTTATTATTATCATCATATTAATAATCATTTTAATTATATTTGTAATTATAAACAATAAAAGCACAGGAGGGGGGGGCACCCTGACGCCGTCCGGCCTCCGGGCGCTGCTCCCTCCCCCCCCGTGCTTCCGCCTGCCCTCCCCCCGCCTCGCCCGCGGGCCGCAGTGTCGTGCCTGGATCCCTCTCGTTGTGAACAAGCTCGCGATGGGGGGGGCCCTCGCCGGGCCTCAGGAGCGTCAACAGAACGACTCAGGCGGTCCTGGGGAATGGGTCCAGGAGGAGGAGGAGGAGGAGGAGGAGGAGGAAGAGGAGGAGGAGGAGGAGGATGGCGTATGGTGGCGTCCATGTGGGGATTCTGGGGCAACGCAGAGCGGCCAGGCAGCCCCAGATTTTTTTTTGTAGGTCGGCCCCGCGTGATCGACCGTAGGATTAAGTCGGGCCCGTCCCTCTACAGGAGGAAATTCAAACATAGGCAAAAATAGTAAGGGTTTTTTTTCAAGTATTTTTTTAAACCATTTTGGAGGATTTTTGTGGTATTCTTTAGTTTTCGCCTAAAATCCCCCTGTAGGGGGACACGCCCGACTTAACCGTAGGAAGGAGACAAGACTGGAGGCATACAGGGGAGGCCAGTCCACAAGTAGGGGAACAAACAATGGTATAAACATAAAAACTCGGAGGTCCTCGCGGACCTCCGAGTTTTTATGTTTAGACCGTAGGAAGGAGACAGGAGTGGAGGTATACAGTGGAGGCCAGTCCACACGTAGGGGAACAAACAATGGTATAAACATAAAAACTCGAAGGTCCGCGCGGACCTCCGAGTTTTTTTAATGTTCGTGTCATTGTTCGTTCCCCTAGGCCAGTCCACAAGAAACCTTCCACGGCAGACCCAACCCTGAGACCCCAGGACGTCCATGGATTCTTGGTGTGGGAGCCTCACGCTTTCCGAAGCAAAAAGACATCGAAGGCCAAGAAGCCCAGGGCACCCTGGAGGCAAGCAGGGTGTTTCTTGGCATGGCCCCCCACTGTAAGAGGCAAAGTTTCAAGGCAGCACGAAGAACACACGATAGCATACTGGCATCACGCTTTATACAGCTTTGCGCCCCCAAGGAGGCTGGCGGATGTAGGGAGTGCCCCCCCCCAGGCTCCGATCTCCATCGACAGGATCGAGCTTGTCATTTCGGTAGAGCTCGACGACCCGTGCAATGCCACGCAAAACGAGTTGATTACCAACTCGACGAGGACTGGTTTTGCCCACAAGTTTGGGATCCCTGAAACTTACATCATTGTGACGTTGTCGACGAATGCATCCTGTAGTGAACGAAAGCCGATCCAACTCGATTCATTTCTGCTGCGGTGGCGTCAAGGCACGGAGTTGGCAGAGATCGATATTGAAATTGACTTGAATCATGCAGCAGACCCTGCCGTCACACTGCCGAGCGCAGAACAAGTCACATCTGTACTTTCAAATGAGACGACTTCCTCGGTGCAGGATATCGTAGGGACCTCTGTGCCAGGAGTGTCTGTGCAGGCAGTGTCGGCGCCATCCGTCACGCAGGTGTTGGTTCCTGCGTCGGGCGACAACACGCCAGTGTCTGGCAAGGGAGATCCACACTTGCAGAACTTGTACGGCGAACGGTTTGATTTGAGGAAGCCAGGCAAACACCTCCTGCTCCACATCCCGCGGCACGCGGATGCCAAAAACACGTTGTTTCGTGTTGAGGCGGTGGCCGAGCAATTGGGTACGGGGTGTTCTGAGATGTATTTTGAAGACGTGAACGTGACAGGAGCTTGGGCAGATGCCAAGCAGAAAGGAGGCTTCCAGTTCCACGCGAAAGACAAGGGCGGAAAGGGTAAGCATAATCACAAGCCCCGGTGGATGAGGCTGGGTAAGCTGGAGATCAAAGTGTCTTACGGACACACGGATCGTGGCATTCTCTATTTGAACTTCTTCGTGAAGCACATCAAGTCCACTGGGTTCGAAGTTGGCGGGCTGCTGGGGGAGGACGACCACACCGATGCTGCGACCCCTCGCAAGGGATGCGTGCGCACCGTGAGCCTCCGGCGCACGGACCTCCTGCCAGAGGTATGGGGCGTTGGTGGTGACTACTCTCTGCCGGATCGGACGATTGTGTAAGGACATCGGGAGGTGCCAATTCTGTACGTGCACACAGATCGTCACCAGGCCCATGCTGGGCCCAGGATAGTTGCACGTACCCTCCCGGCCGAGTCCAGGAGCACGTGTTCGCCAGGATCCTGGGCGCGGGAGGGGCCTGCCCAGAGTCGACGTGAGGGTATGGTTGGTTGGTGCCCTCCCAGGACCCGAGGCGCATGAGCCTCCAGCGTATCCGACGCCTGACCTGAGGCGAGGGATCCAGCGAGCGACAAGACGTAGAGCGGGGTGCGGCGCTGCACCAGCGCGCCCGCCCGCGAATCTGCTTGTCCTGAGATTGGGGGACACGGGTGCTCTCGCGGAGCACAGCGAGCGGTGAACGTTCTCCCGCTTGTGTTGCGAAGCTCGCGCTTCGACGACGGTTTCCTGGGACCCACTGCAGCAGTCAGCTTGTCACGTGATTCAGGGTATGCCGTCGCAGCCCGCCGCAGACATGCATCCCTTGGCGTCAGCACGGCCATGGCGACTCACACGCAGCTGGGTCCTCTTGTGATTATCTCAAGGTCCTCTTGGGGTCCCCTCTCGCCCTCTCGGGGCACACGGGAGCTCTTTTCGAACCTGGTTCTCTCGGGCGGTCCCCGAGGAGTTCGCACCTTTCTCCTGGCCCTCCAGGTCCTGGACGGGACAAACACTCCCGAGGCCATGGCACGAGGTCAGAGACACTGAATCTCGGTCTTTAAGCGCTACGGCAAGCTGTGGCAAATAGTCAACGCGCGATCCGGGTTCTGGACAGGGCATTTGATCCCTGTGACGTTTAGTGAGAATTTGAAAGTCTCCTGTTGGCCTTGCCAGGGTCGGAACCCGCATGTGTGTAACTGACGGCCTTCACCACGGCAATCTGGGACCACTTTTAGGGTTGCAGCACGCACCCGTAGTGAGGGGACTTGGGTTGGGGAGGTATGTTGCAGCATCGTTTATGCATTTAAGGTTGGCCCTTGTTCTCCTCGTCTTCCACCTCCACCTCCTCCTCCTCCTCTTCCTCCTACTCTCCTCCTCCTCCTTCTCCTCCTCCTCTCCATTCTCCTCTCCCTCCTCCCCACCCCCCATCCCGCTCGCGGGTATCGTCCTAGGACGCCTGGAGGCCGATCCACAGCCGTGGTTTATCTGGTCGTCTTGGGGCCGTCTTGGGCCTTTCTCGGGCGATCTTGGAGCGATCTCGGGGGCCTCTTCGGCTGTCTCGGCCGCTCTCGAGACCGAAAAGCTGAGTATACGGAACATGTACCGAAACCTACGGGACTCTCATAATTTTGGCCTCCTGGGGGCCTCTTGGGAGTCGTCTTCGGGCCTCATTGGGCCATCTGGGGGGCTCGTTTGGCCGTCGAGTGCCCATCTTGGGCCATCTTGGGTCCATCGTGGTCGTCTGGGGGCGCTCGTCGAGCCCTCCTGAGGCCGTCTTGGGGCCACCTGGGGCCGTCTTGGGCACTCCTGGGGCGCTCCGGACACACGATCCCCGGCCAGGCCCGGAGTTGTGCCAGGTCAGCATTCTATGTATGTAGGTAAGCAATGTATCAGTACGCCTACACACATACATACATACTCCTCCCACATTGCTTGCACTTAGGGGTTCTTATATCTTCTCTCGGGATCTGGGCCTGCGTGCCAGTCTGGCGGCTCCGTGCTCTCCGTCTCCGCCCCGTCGCCGCCTCGTCGCCGCCCGTCGTTTGGGCCTGCGTGCCAGTCTGGCGGCTCCGTGCTCGCCGTCTCCGCCCTGTCGCCGCCTCGTCGCCGCTTGTTGTTTGGGCCTGCGTGCCGGTCTGGCGGCTCCGTGCTCGCCGTCGCCGCCCCGGTTGCGCCTTGTCGTTGTATTGCTTTGCATTGCGTTGCTTCGCCTTGCTTTGCATTGTTTTGCATTGCGTTGCTTTGCATGACGTTGCGTTGGTTTGCCTGGCGTTGCGTTGCTTTGCGGTGCTTTGCGTGGCATTGCTGTGCATTGCTGTGCATTGCTTATCGTTGCTTCGCATTGCTCTCCGTTGCTTTGCATTTCTTCGCATTGCCCTGCATTGCTTTGTAGTGTTTTGCATTTTTTCATTGCTTTGCGTGGCTTCGCTTTGTATCGCGTTGCATTGCGTTGCTTATAGTACACCGCATAGATTGCAGCACATAGATTGCTAGAACGCACACGGGTCCACGCTGGCTGACACACATACATCTATATATTAGTGTTGATAAGATGTTCTAGCAAGCGTCTTTATGTATGATGTATTGCATACGTCATATATATATATATATATATATATATATCAATACGCTGTAAACTATAGTATATGTGTTTTTCGCCATCGTATAGCATATCAGGTTTTTGGTGTATTGTGTTGTGTTGTTTTGTGCTAAACGGTATGGTTTTGCATGGTGCTATTTTGTAGTGTATTCAAGAATACGAGATCCGCCGATATAATGTTCAGTCATAGCAAGTTATAATATATTTTGGTTTATGTTGTGCTACGGTTTTGTTATATAGAACATAATTTGCTGTACTCTGTCTACTTTCTACCATCGCATACTATATGCGATCTACCATCGCATACGATATGCTATGAACGTGTCGTGTATCATATCTTATTAAAACATGTTATCCTTCCATTATTGTGTGTCATATTGTATTTCCCAACCATCCTGTGGTGTTGGGTCCTCGTTTTGAAGAGACGGTGCCCCGCGTTCCTCCTTCCTTCCTTCCTTCCTTCCTTCCTTCCTTCCTTCCGTCCTTCCTTCCTTCCTTCCTTCCTTCCTTCCTTCCTTCCTTCCTTCCTTCCCTCCTCCCCCTCCTCCTACTCCTCCTCCCCCTCCTCCTCCTCCTCCTCCTTCTTCCTCCCTCCTCCCTGCGTTTCACCCACCCAGTACAGCGTTTTGTGGCCCCACAGGGAGCTCCACCGAAGGCCCCAGTGACAGGGTTCGCATGGCGGCCCCGCGCCATTTTGGCGCACCCCTCACACGGTTCGTGGCCCCATAGGGAGCTGCACCGAAGGCCCCAGTGGCAGGGTTCGCATGGCGGCCACGCGTTTCGGCGCACCCCTCACACGGTTCGTGGCCCCATAGGGAGCTCCACCGAAGGCCCCAGTGGCAGGGTTCGCATGGCGGCCCCGCCTTTTGACGCACCCCTCACACGGTTCGTGGCCCCATAGGGAGCTGCACCGAAGGCCCCAGTGGCAGGGTTCGCATGGCGCCCCCGCGCCATTTTGGCGCACCCCTCACACGGTTCGTGGCCCCATAGGGAGCTGCACCGAAGGCCCCAGTGGCAGGGTTCGCATGGTGGCCCCGCTTCATCTTGGCGCACCCCTCACATTGTTCGTGGCCCCATAGGGAGCTGCACCGAAGGCCCCAGTGGCAGGGTTCGCATGGTGGCCCCGCTTCATCTTGGCGCACCCCTCACTCGGTTCGTGGCCCCATAGAGGGCTCCACGGAAGGCCCCAGAGGCAGGGTTCGCATGGCGGCCCCGCGCCATTTTGGCGCACCCCTCACACGGTTCGTGGCCCCATAGGGAGTTGCACCGAAGGCCCCAGTGGCAGGGTACGCATGGCGGCCCCGCCCGATTTTGGTGCGCCCCTCACACGGTTCGTGGCCCCATAGGGAGCTGCACCGAAGGCCCCAGTGGCAGGGTTCGCAAAGCGGCCCCGCGCCATTTTGGCGCACCCCCTCACACGGTTCGTGGCCCCATAGGAAAGTCCTCCTGCTTCGTCCCACTTGCCTTGCGGTTCTCACACTTGCGTATGGTTGGGTCTTTCGCCAGGATAATTGAGTTTTTTTTGGGTTTGGGCCTCATTGTCAATGTTGTTCCATACTGCAGTCCATGACTGTTTGTTAAATTACATGGCTATGGTATGATATCGCACCCGATCATATCATAAGTTGTCATATCGTATCACATTCGTTGCTTACACCTTATCTACAGTCTTGCCATCGTACCGTACATGGTGTTGGTTCTTATATGTATTGTCTAATCCAGATTAAGCTGTTCCATGGCTTTATGTTGCATTTTCGTGCATGATGCTTTATTAGGTTATGCTACAGTTTGTTGTGTTATCGTTTGTCGTATCACATTCGGCTACATGGTATGACAAGTGTGTTGATCTATCATCGTGTATAGTACGATATATTTGGTGTTACCAGAGTTCTATGACATTCCAGTGTATCCTAACATAACAGACCATTGTGTCTGATGTTCGAAAATTGCACAGTTTGATATATGTTTTGTAGTATGTTTCATTGTGATTCTATAACGTTAGATATAAAAGCATGCCTACGTGTCTATTTCATTTGTATTGTTGTATTATTTGGTAGTATGTTATGCTGTATCATATTGCATTATTTGACATGGTTTATACCTATACCACCTTACCTCATTTTATACCATGTACTGTTGCCTATTCAACATCACGCGTTACACACTAGACAACACAACTGATTCTTTATATACACACACATCTCTCTCTATATATATATATATATATTTCTGATCGTCGGCGTACTAATGCAGGGTCCCAAGTGGGCCCTCTTCGGGGTCTCTTGAGGCTGTTTTCAGGCTGTGTTTGGGGCCTCCTGGGCTGGCTTGGGGCCCTCTGTGGCCGTTTTGATCCCTCAGGGCAATCTTGGGGTTGTCCTGGGGCGGTCTGGAGGCCCTGTTGGGGTGGCCCCTCTTGGAGCTTCTTGCGGCCGTCTTGGGCTGCTCTTGGGCCGTCCTGGGCTCGTCTTGGGGCCCTCTTGGGCGCCTATTGGGCAATCTTGGAGCGATCTCGGGGGCCTCTTCGGTCTTCTTGAGCGCTCTGAAGATCGAGAAGCCGAGTATGCGAACACTGCACGGAAACCTAAGGAAAACCAATCATTTTGGCCTCCCGGGGGGCCTCTTGAGAGTCGTCTTCGGGCCCCCCTGGGCCATCTGGGGAGCTCGTTGGGCCGTCGAGTGGCCATCTTGGGCCTATCTCGGGCCGTCCTAGGCCCATCGTGGCCGTTCTGTGGCGCTCGTCGGGCCCTCCTGAGGCCTCTTGGGGATGTTGGAGGCTATCTGGAACCATCTTGGGATACATTGAGCGATCTTGGAGGTATTTCTGGACTCCCAGATCCCAATCTATGTTAAACGCCTTTCTACTTGTTGCGTCCAGCCCGTAAAAAGCGTGTGGGAGACGCATGCAAGGACGCTGGGAAGCATACCTGGGGAGCTTGCAAGCTTGCGTTGTGAGGTCCGAAACCCAGATTGCAGGGAGCCAGAAGGCCGGGCCTGTCGAAGAGCTCTCTGGAAGGATGTGGAGAGAGTTTCTGGAGGACCTTCTGGAGAGCTTCCGGGCACGCGTATTGGGAAACGCTTAGCAAAGGTCTCTCGGGACACGCTTCCGGTTCACAGGAGTCGCTGCGACGGTGGAAAAGGGAAACTGGAACGAGCTTTGGGGCTACCCTTCGGCTCTGGCTTCTTAAAATGAAACCCTCTTAGCTCTCTACGAGCTATCTGGGAGTCTCCAGGTCGGAGCAGCTTAACGACCTGCTCAGGTCGGAGCAGCAGGTCGGAGCAGTTTCACGACCTTCTCAGATTGGAGCAGTTTCACGAAACGCAGCTT